TAAAAATATATTTTTAGAAAAGTTACATACTGCACCTTTAACAGCAGTTGGGTACAAAGAAGTTCTGCCCCTCTGTGGCCGTGTTTCACTTTTATTCACACAGGTAGAGATTACATCACAACAAGTTGTCGAATCATAAAACAGTTGCTATGTCATGTCATAAGCATAGAAGCCAATCAGAAGCTGGTTGCTGGAGGCATGTAGTTAGTTAGACAATAGGAAAACATTCTTTCTGTGTTAGTCATACTTGTTTGTGCACTCTTTACCAGAAACTCGGGCGTGTTGGAAAGTTTTGTGGTTAGACTGCTTGTCTAAACTCGTCCTTCTGGTTTWCTTAGCAAGTTGTTTTTTTCCTGCTTACACGCAATGCTCCTTTGTACACGTCAGTAAACCTGAAACACAAATCATGTACTGAAACTAACTTTATTTGAAACATAAAGAGATCTATAAAACATATAAAACTATATAAAAACCTTTTCATACATTTTGCACATTTATAACTTTGTCGAATTATTTGACATTTTACACAACGTCTGATGCAACAAGTTCTCATGAAGGTGAACCATGAGTGAAACTGGAGATTAGACCTGAAACCTGGAATCTGATTCATTCTTTGGTAATGTTGCTCTTTGTTTAATATCTAGTTTATTTATTCTGTCAACAGGTGAATGGCAGCAGGTGTGGATCAGATAATTTATAACATCTGACTTTCTGACTCACCTGTTTCTTTAGAACTGAGTTCTCAACAGTAACCTGGAGTCACTCAGAGTTTAACCACTCCAGTGAGAGCTGCAGATCACGATCTGATGAAGCCAACAGGACCACATCATCCGCAAAAAGCAGAGATGCGATCCTAAGGTCACCAAAAAGGATCCCCTCAACACCTCGGCTCCTTCTGTCCATAAAAGTTATGAACAGAATCGGTGACAAAGAACAACCTTGGCGGAGTCCAACTCTCACCGGAAATGAGTCCGACTTACTATCAGCAATGTGGACCAAACTCTGGCACCAGTCATACAGGGACCTAACAGCCCATATCAATGGGCCTGGTACCCCATACTCCCATAGTACCCCTCACAGGAGTCCCTGAGGGACACAGTCGAACGCCTTCTCCAAGTCCACAAAACACATGTAGACTGGTTGGGCGGACTCCCATGCACCCTCCAGGACCCTGCTGAGGGTGTAGAGCTGGTCCAGTGTTCCACAACCAGGACCAAAGCCACACTGCTCTTCCTGAATCTGAGATTAGACTATCCTACAGACCCTTCTCTCCAGAACCCCTGAATAGACCTTACCAAGGAGGCTTAGAAGTGTGATCCCCCTATAGTTGGAACACACTCTGCGGTCCTCCTTTTTAAACAGGGGGACCACCACCCCGGTCTGCCAATCAGTTACGTCAGAGATAACCACATTTTAGAAATATATTACTGTTCACCTAGTAAAAGACTATACAATGTGTAGTGTTTTTAAAAGTCAGTAGTAAACACCCCAATAAATTCCTTCACTACAGCTGGTCCAAGCTGCCCCTAAAGACCGGTCTGAAGTTAGAACCAGAACCTTTACCTCCGCACCACCTGGAGCTCCCAGACACCAATATGAGGATCAGAACATTTCCTCAGGAGGACAGGACTGAAACTGATTCTGTGGAACAGGTGATTGACAGCAGGTGGGTGGAACTTATTGAGCAATCAGGTGTCATATAAATATTTATATATATTTTTTGGTTTCTACAGAAAGCAAATCTGTGGGAGGAGATTTCCCAGATATCTCATCCCTCAGATGTGTATTTAAAGACCGAGTGAGAGTGACCAGCACCAGCAGCCTTCAGATCCAGCAGATCAGATCCAGCAGCCTTCAGATCCAGCAGATCAGATCCAGCAGCCTTCAGATCCAACAGATCAGAACCAGCAGCCTTCAGATCCAGCAGCCTTCAAACTCCCAGGTAACTCTTCTTCTGCTCTTTGCTTCACTGCAGGTTTTACAGATTAAATATCTCAGAACAGAGTCGTTACAGGAAAGTTTTATAGATCAGATTTTTATGTTCTTCTAATAAGTGAAAGTGAGAGTTTTTATTTTTAATCAGGTAACAAACTATTCTATGATCTGAATAAGGATTTCTTCATTTGTTGTTTTATTTAATTCTAACAGAAAATAAAGATAACTAAAGTTATTTCAGATAGCAGGATCATGAAGCTTTACCAACATTTACTGAGTTTTTAACAATCTGTGTTTATTTTTTCTGATAATCATGCAGGAACCAAACATGTCCAATTTCATCACTGAGCTCCAGGTGTCTCTGACTGAAGAGGAAGCTATTCCTCTGCAAAACAGCGGTTACATTAAGATTCCTCATGCTCTGAACCAAGGAACCAAAGGAAACATCTACCTGTGGTACAAGAAAGGTAGTGGTACACCGGTCACCAGGGTCCAGTTTTCATTTGATGGGAACACCAGCAAGGGTCTGAATGATGCAGGGTTCATAAAGATCGACAAAAACCTGGGTGTTGGAACGGGAAACGAAATCTACGTGTGGTACAGCAATGAATCCACAGAGGCTAAACTTCCCGCCATCACTGATATCAAGATCACTAGCGCAAAGGATGCGGATGACGCAGCTTTTAAGCTGACATCTGGCTGGGATGCACCTGATGCAGCTTATAAGATGGCATCAGGCTGGGAGCCTGTGTCCTCTGAGCTGTACTGGTGGTGGTGTTTGTCTAAAACATGGATCCTCCTGTGGGTGAAGAAAGAGGAAAAAACCTACGTCAAAAAAATCATTGCCACCAATCACTTTGATAATGACCACCAACTTTTCAAAGATGGTTACACCCGACTGGATCAAAACACCAACAGAGGAGCAAAAGAAGCGAAACCAGTCTTCATCTGGTGCCTTTCAACTACTGACCCAGCTGAGGCCATCAGGGATCTGAGCGTCTCCACCAATGATGATCAGGTGCACAACCTTCAAGCTCAACATTTTCAAGAAGTGATCCCGGATCTCAATGAGGGGACCGGAGGAGACAAAGTCCACTTGTGGTACAAAAAGGATGACAGCAAAACTCCCATCATGTCCGTGACCTCGATCTGCAACCTAGAAAATGTGGGGCCATTTGTGAGTGCCGGGGCCATCGTCATCGAAGAAAATCTCAACTCAGGCAATGAATCTGGTGAAAAGATGCTGCTGGTTTTCTACCCTGAGCCGGCAAACTAAAAGAGCTCCTGACAGGAACCAGAACAGAACCTGGTTCTGTTGGACCAGTCTGGTGGTGGTTCTTCTACTGAAATGATGTTTTAAATCTTAGCGTTGTGGTTCTGTTGGACCAACATGTGAAATTCTTCCTGATGAAACCAACAGACTTCAATGATTTTGTATCACTTTATTCTGATTGGATCAATAAAGTCTCAAATCATTCTGCCTCATGTTTCAAGACCGTTTCCTGTTTATATTAAAGAACAAAACTGATCAATAAAACAATAAACTCATTATTAACATTCATCCACAGGTTCAGCAGATATTTCACTAACAGACCATGACAGGCAGGAAATAAACTGAATCAATGAGGAAACATTTGAAAGATTCAGTTCTTTGATGTGAACCTGAAATAAAGATCAGTTTCTCTGTTTTCAGGCAGAATTTACAGCAGAAACAAGCTTTAAGTTCAATTTAAATATAAAACTCTAACTAAACATCACCTTAAGCTACAAAATACAAAAAATGTGCCTTTTGTTAAATCTGGATCTCAGGCTTTTTGTCTCCATCGTCCAGTTTCTGGCAGAACTTGGGTTCATGTGTCCACTCAGAACAGGTAGAGTTGCTTGTTTCCTGTCAGCTTTCATCATGTTGTTGTTAGGGTTGTGGCGGGGCTTTTATAAATAAAAACATATATTTATAATGGGAAAACTGTTTTACCAAATGATCAATATTTTATACCAAAGAAGATTTTTAACCCCATGAAGACAGACCAGGGATTGTTTTGATCTAAAAAATAGTCAACATTTTTTTAAATTAAGAAGGAAAACAAAAAGTAAATTAGAGTCTCTAAAATCTGGAAGTTATAAATAAACTCAATCAGAACCTGAACATCAGGCCGGCGCCCCCTGCTGGCCATCAGGAAACATTGGCTTCAGTTTTCAGACGCACAACCCCAACTCCCTACTTGGGAGCGGCTACGTTTGCTGTGTTTTTGGGAAATTGTAGTCTGTGAGTTTACTATTTTATAGTACTTCTGTGATATTACTACTACTTCTACTTCCTGTTATCTTCTTCATCATCGTCTTTTTCACCAGTAGAAACAGACGGTTGTTGATCACGTGACTCCTGTGATGTGAAAAAAGTGTTTCCATTGCAGTTTTGTGAAAAACACCAATTTCGATACGGCCGAAAAACCACCTCATCCTAGCGCAAAAACATTTTGTCGAAAAATGTAATTTTTTTCAAAATTGACGTTTTTCCATTGAACAAATTTATTTTAGAAATTCTAATTTGCGCATTTTCATGGTCAATGGAAACGCAGCTAGTGATGAACGTCTCCCACCCCATGCATGAAGCTGTGGCTGAACTGGAGAGCTCCTTCAGTGACGACTGCTGCATCAGAGGTGCACAAAAGAGCGTTAGCGCAGATCCTTCCTCCCAGCAGCTGTCAGACTTTATAACCAGCACCATGCCCAAAATTCACAATATCTGTGTACAAAAATCACAAGTGTTTAAACACCTGCTGCTGCAACATTGTTTACAGTCTAAATTTTAGACTGTTACTATTCATTGTAATTACTCAACTGAACAATCATTTCAACTGTACTCTGCTGTAATTGTTCATCTGTGTTTCTTGTCTGTATTGTGATCATGGCTAGTCAGTGTTAATTTTGTGTGTACCATCTATAGTTTGTAAAGTAACTAGTGTATGAACCTCTGTACTGATGCTGCTGTGACACCTGAACTTCCCCTCTGCGGGACAATAAAGGTTATTTATAAAGGTTATTTATATTTCTGTTCTATTCTACTAAATTACAACTCAAACACAAGTTGAGTGACGTATTGTTCTGCAGCTAAAGCTGGCTGTTTTGTTTCAAAATGGTTGAAAATACTTGAAATTTTTAACTTTTTCCCATTTTATTGTTTCACATACACTTGTACTTAGTTCTTACAATCAGAAGTGTCTGGGTATTCAAACGTTAACTTTTATAAAATTACTGACCACATGGGAGGGTGTGTTGACAAAAGAACTACATGTGGGGTTTGAGTACAAAGCACTAAAAGTACTTACACTGTACCAAAGATTTAAATCTACCGGTACATTTAGTCAGTTACCATACACATTAGCCAGATATTCACGACACATGAGGTACAAGCTCCTGCTGTCCAGATCTTGGTTTTCAGTGATGAGATTCTGACAATCCACCAACTGGTCTTCAGTTATTGGGCAGTCAAACTCAGGGACCACCACAGCTCCATGCACATCATCTCCAAAATCAGCTGCAACATCCCAGTCAATATCGGGCTCCTGGATATCCTGAAAGTAGTTATTGTACTTTTAGCTTATTTTTAACAAACACAGTATCAACATTTCTTACAACAAAAAAGGTTTGATAACAACCTCAAGATTCTCCGGCTGGTTGACGGGTTGAAGCAACATTCCTGTTTGCCAGAGCTGCTCAGGGGTTCGGTTCCCTTCAGTTCTGAGCGGGTGGTGGTTCCAACCTTCCACAAAAGCAGCCAGGTCATTCTGAAGTCTGGTAAGGAATGCCAGGTGGACTGCAAACAAATCTTCTGTAAAGGAAAAAGTTTGCAAAGTTGAGAATAAAGTATTCATGATTTCCGTAAGACTTTAATTTTCTAAATGATGTCTATGAAATTAGCCATTATTAAATATTTCTTTAGGTGCTTCCCATTTAATCTCTAAGTTCTGAAACTGAAGAGTGCTACCTTTCTTGTTTGCCCCACAGAACTAACAGGAATGTGCCTTACTGCAAGAGGACACATCAAGTAGGTGGTCCATCTCCAGGAGATTAAGTTCATCGTAATACTTTGACGTCACACAAGTCCTGACATCCCGCCACAAACGCTCGATTCTGAGGACAGAAAATAAAATATAATGAAAAGCAAATCAAGAACTTGGAGACATAACTACATTATGTCTTTTTTTAATTGATGTAATACTGTTAGTGACAGTTGCTAAATTGATTAATACTAAACCTTTGATTATGGACACTTTTTCCCGACATGAAGCTCCCTCGGTCAGTTCCACGAATGGTGAACATGTATCTGGCTATGTCCACGTTCTCTTCCCCCTGATCACCTCTCACCCTGTACGTCACAAAGAGATGACAGAGTTATTCAAATCAGTCGGTCCAAATACAGAAAATGCAATATACACCTTCGAGCATCAGCATATCCATTTCCAAATGGGAACAAAATTAATCTGGTGATAAACAAATTATTTTTTGTCTGCACATTGCAAAATTTACCTTGAAGGTACGCCGTGTATCTCTGTTGTTTTTTTGAATGCTGCAAAAGCTGTTGATGCCAGGTTGTTTGTTGCAGCCTCCAAACACATCACCTACATGATAGGAAAACATATCATACAAGCTGCGTTTCTACTGACCATGAAAATGCGCAAATTAGAATTTCGAAAATAAATTTGCTCAATGAAAACACGTCAATTTCGAAAAAAAATTACGTTTTTCGACAAAATGTTTTTGCACTAGGATGAGGTGGTTTTTCGGCCGTAATGAAATTGGTGTTTTTCGCAAAACTGCAATGGAAACACTTTTTTCACATCACAGGAGTCACGTGATCAACAACCGTCTGTTTCTACTGGTGAAAAAGACGATGATGAAGAAGATAACAGGAAGTAGAAGTAGTAGTAATATCACAGAAGTAGTATAAAAGAGTAAACTCACCGACTACAATTTCCCAAAAACACAGCATACGTAGCCGCTCCCAAGTAGGGACTTGTCTCTGGAAAGCCTCGATAAGACGCCGACGTCTCCTCTGATGATGAGCGCTAGTGTCGTGGTAGCAACATGCTATGTGTTTACATCCATCGCTGCCATGTTTGTAATGACTTATCATGAGAACAAACGTATTCACGTGACTTTAATAACATTTCTTACTTAATGGAAACACTGCAGTTGTGAAACTGTTTTTTCGACATTAACAGAATATCGACAAAGTTTTGCGCACATTTGCAATGGAAACGCAGCTGGTGTCTTACAAAGAGTTGTGAAAAGCAAGGTTAAATCTTACCTTCCTGGAATAACCATCGACTGCACCAAAAAGGACAATGTTGTACCTGGTGGCATTAGTAAATCTCAGTGAGGTTTATTTAAATCAAGGCAACACACTTTTATATTTTTTACAGCTGTACCATCACAGCATTAAACTTTTAATACAGTTAGTAGTAACATACTGACCTTATCAACTTGTGGTTAGTGTCCACGTGCCACAGTGAAAGGGGTCCTCTGACAGAATAAGTTCTCCTCACAATGCAGCCAAGTCCAGTCAGTCTGGAAAGAATTCCCATTGCATCCACGCGATGCATTGATGCTGCGAGTCTTCTCCACTGGACATTGATACCCATCGACCTCAGCCTTCCTTTCACCATCCAATAGCCTGCTGTTGGTATTTCATTATGTATGTGCTGGACTGCATTATCCAGCTCTTCATCTGTAAGATCGCTGTAATTCTCGCTGACAGACTGACTCAATTCTGCCATCCGTTGATGAACTGTTCTGACTGAAATTCCCAGTAATTTTGCGATGCTATTCACTGGCAAATTTAACTGAAGAAGCTCAACTAGTCTCTCTTTTTCTATTAAAAACATGGGACGCCCCCTTGCCCTGGTTACAGTTTCAGCTGTGGTCAGTGGAACATTAGCATGGTCAATGTGGTCCATCACCAGTGTGAGAAAGTCTTGTAGGGCCTGCACAATCTCTGCTTGGATATTTATATGCCTCGACAGTGCTTCCCAGAGGTACAGCTCTTGTCTGCAGGTAAATAATAGAAAGTCCAGGTCCAGAGGTTGTTGTGAAATGCCATGCTCTATTTTTCTCATCAGCCTGGACATCATTTCTTGTCTGAGAATTTCCTGTTGACAAGAAAATACATTAAAAACTATGCTTGGGTGCACATTAAAGACATAAATTAAGACAAATTTAAGTTAAGTGAAACTTAAGTCGTGTCAAAACTAGTACACAATTGTAACAAGGTTGTTACCTCGGGTGTTACACAAATACTAAATGTAATCAGTACCTAAATTTATTCAAAAATAAATCAATATTCTTACAGAAGTTAAGAGTTTTGGTTTTTGGAAACCGTAATAAACAAGACAATAATACAATTAAAATAACTATTGATAATGTTGATTTAGAACGAGTCCATGAGATCAAGTTTTTGGGTGTTATACTGGATGATAAATTTAGCTGGAAACCACAGATTTACCAAGTAAAATCAAAATTAGCCAAAAGTGTTGCTGTCTTCAGGGGAATCAGATCAGTTTTGGAATACAAATCATTGTTTATTTTGTATAATATACTCATTGTACCACATTCGACATATGACATTGTGTGGAAGTTTGGAGTAATACATACAAAACAAATTTACAGCCGTTGTACATGCCATATTTTTCAGACTATAAGCCGCACCTCCAAAAAAAAAAAAAAAAAAACAGTACACCCAAAATTGTCATCAAAAAGTGAATTCAACATCAAAACATAAAAAGCAAACCTTTAGAAATTAAAGTTCGGGGGAATACGGTTCATTTAACTGACCTTGTTTTTGGTAGTTTTCTTTAACAATTTCTGATCCAACAAAACAACAAATCATCTCATTTATGGTCCTCCGGTGCACTGAAACCATCGAAGTCCTCCTCTTCAGTTTCGGAGTTAAACAAGCTGAGAAAAGCTGCGTCACACAGCAGTATCTGTTGTCATCCCGGGGTTATGCTGGCTCTGAAGCTGTGGTATCCTCTTCACGTAGCAGTCCAGCCTTTCAGAACCCGGGCCGAGCTTACGTGCAGTGGCTCTATTTCCCTCCTGTTGCGCAATTATGATAGCCTTCAACTTAAAAGCGGCATCATGGGAAGATCTTCTATTCTTTTCCATGATGAGCGTGTTTGAATTTGAAGAGCAATATTTCGTCGTGTTGTGTCTGCTACTAGCTAAAACAAAATTACGCTTTCGTCTTCTTCCTTTTATTCGCGGCAACCACACCTCCGGCTAAAGAGCCCCCTGGTGGCTGAAGAAAAATAATCCCCGTATAAGCCTCACCGGACTATAAGCCACATGGTTCTAAGTTCAGGAAAAAAGTTGCAGCTTATAGTCCGAAAAATACGGTAATACAAAAAAAAAATCAATTCGAATACTGTATAATGTGGGATATGGGAACATACAAACCCATTATTTTTAAAATCAAGCGTATTGAAATTCTGGGACCGTGTAAAATTTAAAACTGTACAATTCACCAAAATTGTACAATTACCAAATTTCCCTCTGGGATCAATAAAGTATTTTTGAATTTGAATTATGTTTAAAGTAAGAAATCATCAACTTCCACACAACATACAAAAAAATGTTTTGTGACAGAGAGGGGGGTTATAATTTAAGAGGAAAAGGAAAATAAATAAAAAAAACAATGTATTAGAACAACCAAAAAGAGCTTTTGTTTATCTTTGTGTGTGGGGTAGATTTATGGAATGGTTTAAATGATGAGCTTAACAAAAATTACAAACTTAAACCAGCTTAAAAAATGTTTAAAAAGGAGCTTAGTGGGAAATATGTTATGTAGGATGGGTGTCTCAATATTATTTATATCAGAAATGTATAAATAAATGTACATGTAAGGATGAGAAAGTAAGATTTAATGCTCATTTAATGTGGGATTAATGTGTTTATCTGCTGTGAGAACATTTAAATGTTATGAGTTGAGAAGGGCAGGAAATCAAAAGACTTGTATCTTTTACCTGCTCTTTTTCAAACAAAAAATGTAAAAATGACCTGCCTAGAGTGGATTATTAGTTCAAGAACAATTTGATGGTTTCTTTTAATCTTACTTTTTAATTTTGTTTTGTTGCGTAAAGATTATTATAAGGGCAGGAAATCAAAAGATCTTGTATTTTTTA